CCCCGGTGTCTTGTCCGTTGGTGATACCTGCGCGTAACATGAGCTTATAAGTAACATAAATTTAGGGGTAGTGGGGTTACGACGCTAACTTAAGGGTTCTTAAATCTAAGTGACACTTCTGTTAACTATTACGAATATAAGTAGGCGACTTATTGGACATTATCGGAAACGATATCTTATTATATCTTAATATATATAAATTACGCGTCACGTTGTTTGTCCGCTATGGATTCCTAAACTACCGAATCGACTTTAATCAAATATGCACACCGTGTGCAGTTTGATCCAACTTAAAAGATAGGATAGGTAGCTTTCATCTCAATTTATACAGCAATATTATTTTATTGCAAATTATTTGACAGTCACAATTCTAACAGATGGCGCTGTGTTGAAAGTACCAACATTTCAAATAAGCTACACTTTAATGGCATTACCACCAAAAAAGCATGGTAGTCCCCATGACTGGTGTTCTCCTACCGTCTCCCTTGAATAGTTTACTACTATGAAATACATTTATATCAAAAACCTTAGCCACAGCAACGCTTGGCCGGTCTGCTAGTTATAAATATATTATCTTCGATAATATTTTTCAATCAATTTCATTTATTACGTAAGCAGATTTACTGCAGCAAAAGTGAGCAAAGCTCTCAAAAATAGTACATAAACGTATTAATTTTTTGTAGGCATCCTCGAAAATACATTTTGGTTTCAAGCATAGACAATAAAAAAAAAAAAGTGGGTAATATGTGTAAAAAGGTAAATAATTACTGTTGACGTAATCACTCAACACAAATCAAAGACCCCCTTCCTAGTGCTTACGTAACACTTGACGGGCCCCTAAGGGTCTTTTTCACCCATCTGTTATCAAAAGCGCGGGCAATGTGACCGGCCTATTTCCTATTTAACTTATTTCGAATGTTTTTTTCTAATTCTTATCAGTTTTGTGTTTAATTTTCAACCTTCGGTCGGTTTCGGTTCTTTTTTTCTATTTTTTTTCTAATTAATTTGCGATATTTGTTTTAAAATAAATGTTGTTTGATGATTTGCTATTTTAAAAGAGTACCGAGAGTTTTTTACGCCGGCTTTTTCTCTCAGCCTACACCCTCTGTCTTCTTTGCCGAGGAGTAGGGATGTCTACCGATTCAAATTTAATAAGAGGAATAAGTGATACCTGTATTTTATGTTCCATGATAAAAAATATTTTATTTTATTCTTATTGAAGTTATACTTCTTTAGGCGCGTTATGAAAAATTGATGAGAGTGAAATTTTACGATGCGCGCGCACCTGTGACACAAAATTGTTAAGCGCAATACACAATGAGCCCGCCGGGCCGCCGACATATGTTGGCAACTTTTTGTCGGCGGTCTAGTTGGCGGCTTCACTTATTACAAGTCGGAAAATTTGGTCGGCGGCATGTCGGCGGCTTGATATGAGTATGATGTTGGCGTACCCAAGCCGCCAACATGTCGGCGGGTAACACGCGCAGGCGCATGTTGCCGACATGATTCTTTTCATACAGGCCGCCGGGTTGTGTCGGCGGGCTCAGTGTGTACTGCGCTTTAGTGTGATTATAGCGTGCGCGAGCGAGATAGGAATAAGAGAATCTACAAGTAAAAAGAAATAGAATATGCGTGAATATCGCAAATCGCAGCTATGCCAAGAATTTTGAATGACCATAATGACATTTGTCATTTACCTTTTAAACAAATAAAGGAGTTTTAATTATTTTTTCAAAGAAAATTAGCAATGCTTTTTAATTCAATTATATCACTTAAAACATAATGTTATCACAAATAATATAAATGGCAAGCTGAAAATATATTAATAACGTTTATAATTGAATTAAACTTATCTCGCAAGGAATTAACCTACTTTTAGAGATTACATTTAATTCTAGATAATTTGCTTAGTCAATATATCTTTTTAAAAGGATTTAAATTATACAACAAACACACATATTTATATAAAGAATAGCCGCCCCCACCAACTTCGTTTCTCCACAATGTGATTTTAGTTTGCCTACCTACCTTTTTAGTACATACCAACATGGAACATTTTGCTATGCTACCCCAGAGACTGTTCGGTTTTCTGGAATGAAAACTTTTTAGGTTTTTCTGTGAATTTTTCTCTATATAAACCACAGAGTTCAAGTCATAAGTTTTTTATTAACACATTAAAAATAGGGGCTGATCGTAGAGGGTTATTTTAGTACGTCTTTTAATAAAAAACAAAACAAATAATAAATTTAGGGTAGGGGTGTCCCCTTATCACTTAGGGGTTTGAAAGATAGTAGCCGATTCTAAGACTTACTGAATATGCATAAAAAATGTCAAAAGAATCGGTCGAGCTGTATGGGAACGAACATTGTGACACGAGAATTTTATATATTAGATTTAATTTAAGTGCGTGTAATACATGAGGCCTAATTATTATTATTATAGACGTATATAGTCAGATTTGCCAAGTAAAAAGACAATACGGTCAAACGAAAACGTTACGCAAGCTGCCAGATCCATGCTATTTCCTCAGCAGTACCCTGCAATATACTCGTAGCTCACAACTCACGAGCTCTTTGCATTGAAGAAGTCGTATAGGTCCGCCAGGCATGCGCGAATGTATTTTATTTTATTTATTTATTTGGGAAACAAAACAGATACATCTCTATACATAAAAGAAGTTAAAAAATAAAATAAACACATTGGATGTTCCACAAAAATGTTAACAATAGTAAAAGACTAAATACGTTACTATCAAAGTAAAAAATAATAAAATAAAATCAAGTAAGTTTAATCCACAAAATATATCAAACTTTTAGGGATACCATACTATTTTTTTTTAATTTGCCGCGCTTTTTCGTTATCTTTCTTCATTAGCCAGACTCTAGTAGCTATGATAAAGAAGAAAGATTAATAGTTGTTTTAAATTATTTTTAAATGAAGCATACGCTACATAATTACGTAGGAATAAAGAAAATAGTTAACACAGCAAGGTTGCTGAAACTCGGCGAAAGGTTCTCAATGGAGACTCTCCATGGAGTTGGTGAAAATGTCCTCCGAGTTATATATACGTATATACATAATCGGTTGAAAAATGTTGTTACATAAAATATGATACTATAAATATATTGTGCATCAATGTACTAATCCAAGGATATATGATAAAATTGAACTTATCTTGATCATAAAGAATATCAGAGATTATGTCAATTTATATAACTATTTTCTGATTATACATGATAAACATTTAGTCAATTTAAATGTATGTAAGGAACATTAAAAAAAACATTTTCGGACGTCGAGATACGGGTGGTATTTCGTATTCTTCGTCACTCCACAACTGAGCGTTTCTTAAGGCAGTTTTTGCACCACCACTATGTAGAACCAGCTGCCCACTGAAGTATTTCTGAACCAATTTGACTTAGGGTCCTTCAAAGAGCGTTCCAATTCTTAAAAGGCTACACACTTGAGAGCCTTCTGGCATTGAGGTGGGTCAGGGGCGCCATGGGTGGAGGTATCACCTGGTGTTACTGGTTATACTCCTGCCCGTATGCCCCCTGTTTTATAAGTACCAATACTTAAAAAGCCGGCAACCCATTCGCGACCCCTCTGGTAACGTGAGTATCCATGAGCCGTATCACAAAACATCAGGTGTGCGTCCTGCCCGTTTGCCCCTGTTTTATTAGTACAATTTCTTAAAAGGCCGGCAGCGCACTCGCGACTCCTCTGTCATTGAGAGTATCCATCTGCGGCGGTATCACTTAACATCAGGAGAGCCTCCTGCCCGTTCTTTAAAAAAAATCTTAGACTCCCGAATCAGTGATACCAGATACAGAATCTTTCCGCCGATGTCTGGCCCAGAAAAAGCCCATTCCGGCCAAAGTACGCTTGGCAAAAAAGCCCGAGCTGACCTGTCAATGTTCTTAATGCCAACTGCGAGTTTACCTCCTAAAATAAAAACAGCTACTACACTTCAGGTCGTTCAGTCAGTGGCGACTCGAGGATTTTCCCTATGGAGGAACATCGCACTATCCTTCTTCCACACGTGATTTTCTAACTGCGGTATTGTTTTATATTAAAAAAAAAAAATATTTGTAAAAATCAAAATAAATAATGAGAATTAAATTTATTAAATTCCTAACATAATTATCTTCCTTTTCCCTCTAAGTCTCGGAAATCTAAAGTTTTAGATTTGTATAACTATGAACAAGACTTATAAATTTGTTTGCCAAAGAAGTTTCACTTCTGACATGTGTACTTTGTACGCACGCACTTTTTTTATAATTCATGAGGCAATTTTTTATAATTCATGATAATATTATTATCCCAAGTGTGTATCCTTAATGCTAGTCTAATAATAATATAAATAAACAATAATCTTAATTAGTAGTCTGTAACTAATTGAAAGCCGCTACAAGCTTGATGTTTTAAATAATACTTAATAGGTGCGGCGAGCGCGTCCCCCGCACCTTGACCTTGACACACTCCAAATTCCGTACAAATAAGAGAATGAGGTTCGGGTCGCCCTTCCCTCACTAGAGCGATACAATTAAACTCCTATATCATCAAACGATCTATCGGTTAAATCAAGATAATATAGTTTACAATATAAATCGTTAAAAGTATTGATATTTTTACAGTTAGTTCTGTTAAGTGATACAATTGGTATTATGTTTGGAAGTTATCTTATAAAATTGTCATATTAGGGTAAAAAATAAAGATTGATTATAATTAATCTAGGATATCAGTTTTCCAATTCGATTTTCTTTTTTAACTAGTATATAGAATCACTCAGTTCACTTCCGCAGCAGTTATCAATGTTCTGTGAATATGTAATTATCTACCTATTCCACCAATCAACGGCCGATGACCTTTCTATATATCATTCAGATTTCATCACTCACAGCTGTCAGCCGTCAAACTGTCAAGTCATTCGAGTTAAAAGTCATTGACATTCGTAATTGTAATAACCAATTCGATCATTCATTCACGTTCTGTGTGACATGGCGGTCGTGTGTTTCTCACGGACTAGTGGTTTAATCCTATTATTTTTAGTAAACACACTCGCCGTATCGCCATGGCTTACATCGGTGAAATTAGATAACGTTACATGTAATGAGTTAAAATGTGATTACCGTATAAAAGTGGTTGGTGATGTCGATCAGTGGTCTTTAACCTCGAATGAAAAAATACGCGGCGAAATATGTGATGATAAATTAATTGTTCAGGAATCAAATGTTTTAGTAGAATTTAGTTTGCCTGTATCCAGAAAGGCGTATTTCTGTGTTGAAAAGGATGGAGTTTGGTATCATCAAGGGAAGAATTTATATTTAATCGGCGATGACGTCACCCACCTGGACTGGTAAGTTTCTCCAAAATATTTTTGGTATTGTAATCGATATCAAAAAGCGAAAATTTTAAATCAAATGTTTCATAATCTTGTTAATGTAATCCCGCGCATCTCGATCTATTCATTCTAACATACGAACGTTTACCAAAAAACGTGTAATTTTTTTGTCGGTTTTTGTATAATTGTTCCCACATACCTTAGTTATCTGTTTACAGATTAGAATGTTTAAAGTATTATTATATATTATTTATCACTGCTGTAAAATGTAAACAGTTAGATAGTAATGACACTTTAATATCATGAATTCATTACAAAGCATTAAAAAATGATATTTCCATAAATTATTTTGGAAATAAATGTACCCTGTGTTATTGAAGGATCATGTAGCATTCTAATGGTGAAATAATTTTTTAAATCGGTCAAGTGGTTTTGTAATCTTATTGTTACAAAATATGTCTTTATTTTATTATAAAAAGGCTGTCGACACAAAAGTATATCACACTTACCATCTACAGTTATATTTAGCACATGATTTTTAAACAGTAGATGAATCATGTTTTTTTGTGGGTAGATATTTGCCAAGTCAGTCATCTGTAAATGGGTGTGTGAAAATGTTTTTGGAGCTTGACTAATTGGTATTTGAAAAAATATTACGACTAATGATGACTTTATGTAACTCTTGAGAGTCCTTTACCTAAGGCAAACTGGGAATTTCAGTTTGCATAGTAGATTTACGTAATTGTAACCTCCCAGATACCCACCCACTCACTCAATTTTATTTTTTCAATCATAATGTGGAAAAAAGAAATTCTGATATATCTTAATATATATAAATTACGTGTCACACTGTTTGTCCGCTATGGACTCCTAAACTACCGAACCAATATCAATAAAATTTATTCACCGTGTGTAGTTTGATCCAACTTAAAAGATAGGATAGCTTACATCTCAATTTATTCCTGCAATATTATTTTATTGCAAAATATTTGTGCATTATTTGATAGTCACAATTCTAACAGATGGCGCTGTGTTGAAAGTACCAACGTTTCACATAAGCTACAATTTAATGGCATAACCACCAAAAAAGCATGGTGGTCCCCATGACTGGTGTTCTCCTACCGTTTCCCTTAAATAGTTTGCTACTATGTAATATATAACAAAAACCTTAGCCACAGCAACGCTTAGCCAGTCTGCTAGTATTATATATATATATTGATAATTCAAGTTCTGAATGTGTATTGTGCTAATCATACACTTCCTTTAAACTTAAATATATAATTTTAGTTTTATCTTGATGATATAGCAATCATGTGTGATGTTTGGAGGCATGACTAAATAATTAAATAAAATTTCATTCATTTAATCAAAGTGACACAAGAGTGATAACGGAAAATATTTAATGGCTATTTGAGGCAGTATCTAAATAAAGCAACAAGTTTTAAATCTATATTTGTTTTGTTGAGTATTTTTTAACAAATAGTCGTTTGTAGTTAGATTTTATTTAGTTTTGCACTGGCACTTTGCGAAGTTAAGATTTCTTAAAATATGGTTGCCTGGATTACATCCAAAGAGTTTTAAGCAATAAACCCATGATTTATATTCAAGTTGTCACTGTTTATGCAATGCAGTGGGTATTTTTAGTATGTCTATTAAAGTTTGAACTGGACAAACTTTATTACAATTATTTATGTTAAATGATAAATGACATAAACCGGATGAAGACAAATTTTTGTTATAATCATTTATTTTATATGTTTGTGTTCTTATCTGAACTGAAACTGCAACTGAAAAGCATATAAGCCATTTAGAAAATGTAAATGAGCTATTCCTCTCAGCTTAGCCATTGTTACTGCAGTTAAAGCTGCCCTCATGATACTATTTTTAATAGTCAGATCTGGGATCTGTAACTTTCATTAGGTATAGCGAAACCAACTTCAATATTGAGTATTTATTGAATTCTTTTAGTTTTCATAGTGCTGATGATGAACTTCCAAACAGAACATTGATATTACAAGAAGTTTCAGTCAGAAGTCAAGATTGTCTGGCAACAGCTGCATAAGTATAAGATTATAAGCATATGATGAATAAAAATGCAATAATTATAGATTTATTCTTAATCATAAATAAAAACTTATGTTTTTAAATAAAATAATTAATCAAAAAACTAAATAGGTGAATACATTTCAATTACTTGAGATGATTATAGTTTGTTATATTATAAGAGTTCTTAAAACAATAACTTTAATCTATTTCCTTTTAAAAAGCAAACCAAAAAAACTAGTCTTTTGTCACAAACTGTAGTAGTTTTTACTTTTTTATTAAAGAAGATTATAACAAGCATTTAGGGTTGCATCTGATTTATTAGCCCCAGCTTTGCATGGCTGGATATTAATTTTTATTAAAAATTTAATAGAGACATGGTGTAGCAGAACTTTTGTAGATATTGATGTCTTATATGAAACTATAGTCCCTCACTTTTCTCTATTGTCAATTCAATTTACATTTATGGGATTTTTTTTGTATTTTTTTCACAAATTGGGTTATATCAAAATTTTCATGTGGATCTTGGACATGTTTATCAGGGATAATGTAGGGTTCTAATGGTGAAAGAATTTTTCGAATTCGTCAATCTTGTCCAGTATTTTGAGTGCAAACATCAAATCTTTATACTAATGCAGCCAAAATTTCAGCATTTCCTGGTACATGTAGCATGTGTTGAGGTCTAAACACACAAGATTAGTGTTGAAAGTTTCTAGGCCAACAAATATTGCTACTGTGAATTACAATTGTCCTTATAAACCCCAGACTGGTTCATGAGGAAAAATGTAAATCACGATTGATTTATATTCAAAATATGTGTGATGTCACTCAAGGGACTTTAAATGTTATTTACTTGGCAATCTTTAGTTGTGTTTATTCTGTCATAACATAGGGCATCCCAAAGTTATGGGACATGAAGGAAAAGTACCTTTAATATCGTAGATAGGGTATTTTACCGAAAGAAGACTTTATGTTATTTTTAAAAGTTAGTAATTCTGCATTCAAAGATTTTCTTCGCCTGGGAATCGAACCGACATAAATGTAAAAAAGACCCCTACTTTTATGATGCCAATCGAAAGAATGGCCAACAACTAATAACTCTTCTTAAGCAACATAGTATTTTAAAAGGTATTCAGTACGATATTTGATTATATATTATGAACACCTAGGCATACCTACAGTCAAGGAGGAAATAAAAGTATACGCTCAGAAGTACAAGACTAGGCTGGAAAATCATCCTAACAACCTAGCTGTTCAACTCACCCTACCGGAGTATATGAACGGACGAAGAACCCTGGAGCTCAGCAGCATTGACTGAGCGAATATTATTGTGGTAGATATTCCTAATGAGGAATATCTCCACCCGCAAATCATCCTACAACTCATCTGCTCATACTCAGAAGACTGATTGCACGATGCGCTCTATTTAAAAAAAAAAAAGGACGATATTTAAGGTACTTTCCCTTCATGTCCCCATAACTTTGGGACGCCCAGTATATAGGGGCCATGAGGCACAAGATCAAGAGGATTTATTACAGAGGTACTAATGTAATCTGAAATAAATAAGTTATTATTTAAATTATTATTAGAGAGGTCTATAAATAAAAATTGTAGAACATTTTATTACTTTATTAATGTTTGTTTATTTTTATGGAACAAAATAAAACTATATTATTATATTTGCTATATAATTAAATATTATATCCTTGTACAATATTACTTTGTATGTCAGTCACATCAAAAAGGCTTACTATAAAGTTAACGATTATCTAGTTGATGAAAGGGCCTGGCACTAGTGCTAGACAGGCTACTTCTAATTAATTTGCGATATTTGTTTTAAAATAAGTGTTGTTTGATGATTTGCTATTTTATAAGAGTACCGAGTGTTTTTTACGCCGGATCTTTCTCTCGGCCTACACCCTCTGTCTTCTTTGCCGATGAGTAGTGATGCCTACAAATTCAAATTTAATGACGTGGAATAAGTGATACATGTATCTTATGTTCCATAATAAACATATTTTATTTTTATTTAATATGGGCGTGCATAGTCTATCTATGGAATGATCTTGCCTGGGTACACGTTGGATAAGTGTTACCGTTCCGGATTTTACCGGTCCGGATTTCCACTTTGATTCCACAGTTCTCATTTCAAGGTGTTGGTGAAGGTGCGTTGGTTATATACCATGGTATTTTGCCGGGTGTTCTGTTGCTGCTGGAGTATGTTTAGGTTGTTATCGCTTGCTGCCCCACATGTAGCAAACGACAAATTAAAAGCCGCCCGCGCGGCCAATAATAATAATAAAAATTAAAATCATATTAGGGTAATAAACTGCCTTCACCGAGGAAGGCGTGGTGGACCTTTAGTTCGTACTTCGCTCACTCCAGTGAGCTTCCGACCTGCTCTTCAGGCGATTGACCACCCCGCGACGGCCCAAGCCGAGGTCCGAGTCTCACAGGAGACGCCCTTGCGCTAGTCGCGGGAATAACGCCCATTCCACGAGCTACGCTCGCCAAAACAGCTCGAGCTGAGCTGTAAAGGTACTTAAGGCGAACAGCGAGATTCCATTCAAAAAAGAAGAGAAACTCCAGTTTCTTCCTAGAAGTATAGGCTGTTGTACTTTAGGGAGCGTTCAAGTATTATGTAACGAATTTTTTTCTAGTACTTTACAGCACATAATGGTAACTTTAAGGTATAAAGATTCTGTCTAAAAACAGAAAAACGTTACGGCGCGTTACATTGGGGGTTTGTCAAGAATCTCCAAAATTTGCGTTACGTAATACTTGAACAGGGAGCTGTAGTACCTGCTTTTTACTGTATTAAGTTCATGAAATAGCGCGCTAGTAATATTGTTTTGATCTTATTCTAGGTAGTGTTTGGTATCACTTTCATTGTCGAGAATCGATTGATTTGTTCAAAGGCAAAGAGATTTTGATGATCTAAAATTTTTTAACTCGGCCGAAGGTCACATTTTTGTG